AAGCCCCCCTCCCTAGTCACAATTGGCCAAAGCAAATCAATCAAACTCCCATTGACTGCTATGCTTTGTAAATTAACAATTGTTGGTTGATGCAGGTTCTGACAATCAGCTGTTGAGAAGCTAGTGGCACAGCATGGTGGTGGCAATGGAGCCAGTTGTTAAATATTTATCAGCACACTACTGAATATATATCTTTCTTTATATGAGTTCTCAGATTAGAGAGATAGAGCAGTTAGTATCTCATGTCCTCCAGCAGGAGGTTTCAGGAGTCCCTTCCCCAGGCCAGGGGTGGGGGGTGGAAACTATTTCAGTATATATTGCTGTGGTTGTTATACATTATGTGACCACCAGGCGGCAGTGTGCTACTGGCCCAATAAGGATGAAACTGGTAGCACACTGCCTCCTGGTGGTCAAATAATGTGCAGCAACCCACTGGATATGTTGAACTTCAGTTCCATGGCAACATTGCTAATGGCTATGGTGGTTGGGAATGGTAGTGATAGTGGTCCTAGACATCTAGAGGGCATCCAATTGGAGTGAGATGACTGTGAAAACTGGTGTCTCCTTGTCCTGAGCATGGTTTGCATCTGTTGACTGAAGCCACTTTCGGAACCCACATGGAAGAACAGACTGGAACAAATGCAGATGTGAATGAAAAGTGGTTCTATTATACTTTATAGTTCTTTTCTCTTTCAGGCCCCTCCAAGTGTGAAATAGAGTATTCAACTGCCACTCGTTTTGAGGAGGATTACAAGCCACTGTGTGAAGACAGTGGTGCCTATAAGCCAACCCAATGCCAACTGAATGGAGAATGTTGGTGTGTCGACACCAGAGGGCAAGAGATCCCTGGAACAAGAAGGAAAGGACAGCAACCAATCTGTGGTAGGTAAAACCAGAAACATGGTCATCAAGGATTTTCATTCCTAACTTAATGTTAGCTCAAGACTGTAGACAGCATGCCATCAAATATCAGTTGTAATGGAATACCAGAGAATTCCTTGTTTCTAAGTTCCCCAGAAGCATCTAACTGACCACAGTGAGAAACAAATGCTGGATCTTGGCCTGATCCAGCAGAGTTATTCTTATATTCTTAAAATGTGGGGAGAGAAAACGTTTTTCCCCTCCCTCCCTCACTATGTTGATGAGAGTTTTGAAACACAATGCTGGGAAAGAAAAGCTGTTCTAGATACTATGCAGATTTAAATTATGGAATTTAGTGCCATCTTTTGGTGATGGCCTCCAGTTTAGATATTTTTTTTTTTTTAAGGGAACAAAATAAATTCATGGAAGATAGGATTAATCTTGATGACTTATTACCTCCTTGATCACAAGCAGTATACCTTAAATATCAGTTGCTGGGGAGCATCAACTGAAAGAACCTGATCACCCTCCGTTTTGTGCTAATGAACTTTTGGGATGTATCTTCTTGGCCATGTGTGACATCAAATGCTGGTCTAGATGGGTCCTTGGTCTGAAACAACCTCAGGCCTCTTCTAGTGCTCTTAATAATAATTATACTCCTGTTATCTTTTCCTTTGTCTAGGCAAGGAGCCCACCTGTGTCTCTGAGAGACTGGTATCTCTATCCAGGCTTTTCTATGGCCCTGTTGGACATTTCAGCCAGGACAATTTGTTTTCCGCTACTCAAGAGCCACAGAAAATAGTTGGCTCCTCAAGATTTTGTCCTCTTTCATTCAAAGATTTTTTTGTGGGCTCCAGAGTGCTGTCTCCCATCTCAGGGAAAAACAGTGCTTCTCAGCTCCTCACATTTGAAACCCTCCTTGGTGAAGCTGTTGGTGGAATGTTTCCTTCACGAAACCTCGCTCAGGTTGCCCTCCAGTTTACCAACAGCCCCAAGCGATTCCAAGAAAACCTTTTTGGGGGAATGTTCTTGAAGAATCTGGTTCAGTTTAACTTTACAGGAGCTCTTGGTCCTAACAGCAAGTTTAATTTGGACAAGTATTTCCAGCAGGTAGGGATGAGAAGCGGATTCAGTGAACTGGTCCATCAACTTTTTCAGGAAGATCCCCAGCAGAAGTTTAATCTGAGCCAGTCTCTTGTTGACAGCTTTGGTCGTATGGTCAATTTACAGGACAATCAGAATGCCATCAAATTCCTTGCTTCTCTTCTTGAAGCCCCAGAGTTTTTCACCTTTCTACAGCATGTGATTTCTGTCCCAGAAAGTGTTACCAAAGATTTAGGCAATGTTGTGAGGATTCTGTTGAAATCAAAAGACTGCACAGAAGAGACCAATGATATCTTTGTCCCAGATTGTACTAAAGATGGGAAGTACAAGGAGATCCAGTGCAATAGAGGGGAGTGTTGGTGTGTAGATTTAAGGGGAAAAGAAATCCCTGGATCCAGAGTACAAGGGACACACCCACGGTGCCCTACAATGTGTGAAAAGCAAAGGGCCAGTCTGCAACTCCTAATAAGAGACCAGCCTGCAGGATCTGAGCTGTTTGTTCCTTCATGCACAGAAGAGGGGAAGTTCCTGCCAGTCCAGTGCCATGGAAAAAACTGTTTCTGTGTCAGTTCAGAGGGCATACCAGTTCCAGGAATAGGTAGCAATTCTGGAGAGCCCATACAATGTAAGTTTCACATGTTCACGTGCATTGTTGTTCTGCTTCTTTGTGAGATGCTCTTGATGTTGAGTGATGCTGAAGATGTGAATACACAGATCATGTAGAGTTTAATGCTAGTCATGGAAGGATGTCAAAGAAGCTGCTAAGTCTAGACAATATTCATGTTCTGTCTGAGAAGCCCAAAATCAGTGTTCCCCAAATTTGGCTCTTTAAAGGGCGAAACATTGGAGTTGATTTTTGTAATGCCTGCCTGCAAGATTATAAAATAATGAAAAGAATAGCATATGAACTCTTGGTCAGGAACATAGATTTCCTATTTGCATCAGGTCCATATTGCCTTCTCATCTTCAGATAACTCTCACTTTTCTGTTTCTAGTATCTCCAAACATACATTACTTCTTCTCCTGAAATTATTTGAAGAAAATACCCAAGCTACATTGTGGTGGAATCTAGCATTTTTGATAACAGGAAAGTTCTCCTCCCTTGTTACCTTCTATTCCTACAAAATCTGTACAGGAACAGATATAGAGGAGACATAAGGAAATGCTGGAATTTCACTCTGTCTCAGGGCTGTAAGCAAAGAAGTCAAGAAAGATCCTGGGAAAAGACAGTGACAAAACCATTTCAGTACTGCTGCCAAGAGAACTACATGGATACATCCATGAAGTCATCAGGAGTTATGCTGAACCTGAAGCAGCTTTTAACTTTATAGTGCTTTTAAGTTCAATGATTCATCAACCTCAGGAGCTCTGATACTTAAACTTCAGTGCCAACTTTAGTGCCTCCAAGCCATTTTCTCCAGGAATGCCCAAATTGGCTTTCACAACATTAAAGAGATGCTAGCTGATTACTCCAATACATTTTTATTAAATTTTGAGAAGATACGAGTGGGTTTTCTTAAATGGTGCATACTAAAAGTAAAACTTTCTGATTTATCTGTCTTTATTAAAAGTCATCCCTCTATGTCCAGTTGGGATGAAAAGCAAACTGGGAGTTGGTGGACCTGAATGAAGATTAATGATATGTATCTGTAACATGTTAAGTCATAATGCTGTCTTGCCACCACATTTTTCTAGCTGAAGTTTCCTAAAGTTAGGGATCTTCCTGGAAGAAGCATTCTCCTATGGGTTTGAGAGAAAAGGAAATGCTTCTGCAGCTATGTCTTGTAACTCATAATTTGTATAAATACTTATTTAACATAAGCACCATCAAATTCATTTTTAAAAAGTTTAGATCTTCTATCCTTGAGCAGGTCTATCTTTTAAACCTGTTGGGATTTAAAATTCAATCTTAAATTAAACCGAGCAATTAATGAAACAATTAAAATTAATTAAACTGAGTGATTTAAGTAGAGTAAAACTAAATTAGAGTAAAACTCTTAAAGACATGTTCTATTGACTTTGTACTTATCCACTTTGTTCTTTCTTAGGTCCAAGTGACTGTCATCTTGCAGGTGGTCAAGCTTTTCTAAGATCCGTTCAGCAGTTCCTGTTGAGCCCCACTGCTGTGACTCAGCTGTCCAGCATTTATGTACCTCAGTGCAGTCTGGATGGTCAATGGAGGCCAATACAGTGCAATGGTCCACCTGAGCAAGCTTTTGAATGGTATCAAAGATGGATTACTCAGAACAGTAATGGCAATGCGCTTCCTTTCACTGACTTGGCAAACATACTCCTAGACTACAAAGCAAGATCTCAGAAAAGCTTTGAAGATTTTGTCAAAATTCTCTATGAAGCTGGCCACCAGAATATTTTCCCAGAATTCTCCAAATACTCATCATTTGAAACTGTTCCTCAGGATCTGCTGGAGGGCAATACATTACAGTCATCTGAGAATGTTTTACTGGACCCATTCACCTTTTGGCAGCTTCTTCAGGGACACTTCAACCAATACCCAGGATCTTACAGTGACTTCAGTATCCCGTTAGGACATTTTGACCTTCGCAACTGTTGGTGTGTGGATAAAAAGGGACGCCTGCAAGGAAGCCAAGCCAATGTAAACCAAGTTCCAATTTGTAAGTAACTTGTGCCAGTCATCAGATCTTGCCGTGCTAAAACATGGATGGGATGCCAACAAAATCCCAGCCTGGTGAAGCATTTATGATGGGATTAAAATTGCACTAAGCCAGATATTCATTTGCTTTTAGTTTTCCATGATGTGTAAGCCTAATTTTGGTTTGTAGTCCATAGTTGGTAGCTTAACATTCTGTATGTGAACCTGGCCATTGTAACTTAATAACAAACCATGGTTAAACTAAACCAGGATTTCTCTTTAAATTATAGATCAATGGGCATTACTGAAGTGAGTCTTCCTAGAGTGATGCTTTTGGGGGGAATACCTCTCCCATTGTAAAATACCAGCCTTATAACTGATGGACATTGGGCGTCTTCTAAAATCCGCCTTTTTTCCTGTTAGCTTTTACTCATTTAACTCCCAAAAATACATGTTCTCTGTTAATAATAGCCAGTGGTTAATGTGCTAACTGTCCCTGTCTTCTATGTTTCTTCTCTCCCCAAACAGTTGTGTGTGTGAGGCACTGGAAACAGAAGGCAATATAAGTGTATTTTCTTACTCCTGTTGCTTTCTAGTTTCATGGAAACTCACTAAGGCTGGCATTCGAATCTGAACTAAAGTTTAATGAGAACCATTTTCTCTTGCTGTTCTCCAAACTCTGTCATTTACAAGTTTTGAATATGGAAACTCTGTATAATCACGTTCTCCAAATTACTCCCTGTAGCTGTGTTCAGGTTGGAACTCTCAGTACACCTGAAGACCACTGCAATTATATTTGCCTTTGTGACTATCAGGTCATTGGAAAATATGAGGAGAAACCTCTAACCGGAAAAGCTGGTTAACACTGGCCATATTCATATATACTGCACAGTGAAATTGACTTTAATAATGGCCAAATGATCGAGGTAAAATCAGTTTTGCAAACAAGCAAAATAATCACGTCTTGAGGTTGGACTTGACAATGCATTTTTTAAAAAATTGGGATTGGTATGCTTTTCACAAACCATGGTTTCAGTTTGGTTTGTTCTTAAAAATAAGCCAAGGTGGTGACACTGTCAAAAGGAGCAGGATTGAAAAGACTGGGGGGGAAGGAGGAGGAGACTTCTGGAAGGCCAGTGGTTTCCATGTCCACCTTTAACAAGGAACCTAAAGGCTGAGAACTACGCTGCTGATTTTCAGCATGTTCAAATGGCACATCTCACCCAACAAATAGACCATAAGGTGGCTTAGCATTATGTGCAGATCAAGCCAATGAAACAGAGAGCTGACATTTCTTTCCAACAAGTACCTGTGCGACTTTTTTTTAAGGATGCTGGGCACTCTTTTTCAGCCCAAAGCTTGCATTTCTGCAACACGTTAAACTATTTTTAATACTGATTGCAGGGGTTGTGTGTGTGTGTAGCTGAGTATGTTGTACAGTTTCCAGGTACAGTATTTGTTAGTTTATGGCTCAATTATTGTGCAAATCCAGAGAATGGAATTAACCAAATTAAGAGTGTTCTCTGAACACAATTAAAATTTTGTGGTTTTACTGGGAAAACCTGAAGCATTAGTCTAGTTTAAGAACAAATTGAACAATCATTTTGTTTTTATTTAAATTGATTAACAAAGTAGCCATACAGTGGTCTATAGAGAGGAGCAAAATGCATATAGCCTTATTTAATTAGATTACATTTAACTAGATTAAATGGTTTTAGGACATTGGTTTTATTGTTTCTCTTGGTTTTCCTTCTTGTTTTGTCAGCTGCCCAGAGTTGTGACACATAAGATGGGTGGCCATACAAGTCTTTTAAATAAATAAATAAATAAATAAATAAACAAACAAACAAACAAAAAAGGAGACCAGAATTGGATAGTAGGCAATCATTATGTCTTTGTTGCCCCTAATTAATATGTTTATTACATAAACTTAAATTAATTGTTATTAAATGTTACATAAGCGTAATTAATATGTTTAAACCAGGCAAAGTAAAAAACATCTTCTGTATTATCCAAATACTCCTTCTCCTTCTCCTTCTCCTTCTCCTTCTCCTTCTCCTTCTCCCTTCTCCCTTCCTCCTTCCTCTTTTTTCTTCTTCCTTCTTCCTTCTTCTTCTTCTTCCTTCTTCCTTCTTTCTGAATTTTTTCCATTAGACAGATTTTCCAGCATATTTGCCACACACTGAGCAAACTTTCTGTCTTCTTGCAGGTCTTGGAACGTGTGAAGCTGCAAAGCAAGAAGCTGTGCAGTTTGTTAACAATGTGGAACAACTTATTCAGGAGTCAAACAGCTCTCATTTTCCTTTTGGACAAAGCTTTTTAATGACCCAAGTGTCCATGTTAACAGGTGAAGAACCCTGGAGTAATTTTTCTCAGCTGGAAGTCACTTTTTCAGAAACATTGTTGGCAGGGAGCGATTATGCCATCCGGTTGGCTGCACAATCAAGTATGTTAGTAAGAAGAAATGTTGTTGGTGGTGATTTTTTTTTTTTTTGAGGGGACCCTCAAATGTTGGTGGTCCAGTATATTTTGAATTATTGAAGGGAGAATTAGCATTGTAGGATTTGCAAGGGTGTCTGCAGGAAGGGGGTCAAAAAGTCAAGATGGTGGTGACAACTATATGATTGAAGACCTGCCCTTTTTTACATGCATTATGATGCATGTAAAAAAGTGGTAGAACATTGATCACATGCTTGTGGCCACCATCTGACAACTATATGATTGAAGACCTGCCCTTTTTTACATGCATTATGATGCATGTAAAAAAGTGGTAGAACATTGATCACATGCTTGTGGCCACCATCTTAACTTTTTTGATCCTCTTGTGGACACTGCTGAGGGTTTGGTTTGGTTTTCTTAGTAGATATTGTGGGAGGAGAACCATGTTAGATTATGGCAGTGTTTCTCAACCTTAGCAACTTTAAGACGTGTGGACTTCAATTCCCAGAATTCTCCAGCCAGCATGCTGGCTGGAGAATTCTGGGAGT